CTTGGAAGTTCAACTTCATCTTTTGCTGTGATTGGTCCTGTGCTATCTGAAGGTTTGCTTACAGTTCCAGCAGCATTCCTTGCAATTACTCTAAATTCATATCTTTGGTCTTCAGTGAGGCCTGTTACAGTAAACTGAGTTTCAGTTATATTGGTAAAGCTTGCTTTCATCCAGCGACCATCTGGCAAATCACGTTTCTCCACGATATAGCCTGTAATTTTGCTGCCACCATCATATTCTGGCTTAGTCCACTGCAGAGTAATTGAGCTCCTCTTAACCAAAATTGCTTCAGGGCATCCTGGTGGATCACATGGATCACGGGCTACATAGCACTCAGAAACTTTGCTTGTTTTGCCGATGCCGACAATATTTTCTGCAGAAACTCTGAATTCGTATTCAATGCCTTCTTCAAGGTTAGTTGTCTTATAATGTGTGTCCTGAATGACTGTCTTATTTACTTTTGTCCACAGAATGCTGTTTCTTTCCTTTTTCTCAAGGTGATAACCTAAAATTTTGCTTCCACCATCATTGACTGGTTCATGCCACTGCACAACCATAGAGTCTTTTGTAACTGCAGTCACAAATGGTGTACCAGGAGGACCCGGTTCTTTATAAGGATATTGAGCAACCACTGCATCAGACTCCAGGGCAAAGCTCTGTCCATACCTATTTTCTGCAAATATTCTGAACTGATATTCTGTCCCTGTTTTCAGCTTGCTCACTTTGAGAGTTGTTCTTGCAACAGTAGTCGAAACTGTCTCCCATACTGTGGTGGTCGTATCTCTCTTATGAACAATGTAATTAGTAATTTGGCAGCCACCTGTATATGCCGGAGGGTTCCATGATAAGGTAATACTGTCAGCACTGATATCATCAAATTTAACAGGGCCTTTTGGAGGATCAGGTTTGTCTAGTGTTATAATTTCAATAGATGCAGATTTCTGCCCAACAACATTAGCCACTGCAACTTCATACATTCCACTGTCATCTTTAGCGGTCTCTTTAACACTTAGGGTGGTAAGATTAGGTGAATCAATGACATTGACTCTAGTTGTCTGTTTTAGTGGTATGCCATCTTTGGTCCAAGTTACTGTAGGCTTAGGACGGCCAGATATTGGTACTTCAATCTTTAAATCTTGACCCACTTGGACACTGTAACTGTGGAATGCTGGCCTTACATCTGGTTCAATAACTAAATCTTTGGCAGTTATTGGAACAGCAAGTGATCGTGGGTCACTCTTCCCCTTTTCGTTTACAGCCATTACTCTAAAGAGATATTCTTGTCCTTGAGTTAGATTAGTAACAACGGCTTCAAGAATTTTGACACGGGCACACTCTGACCATTTCTCACTGCCTTTAACTTGCATCTCCACGATGTACTGTAAGATTTTGCTTCCACCATCATGTTCAGGCTTTGCCCAGCTCAGTGAAACACTGTTTCTTGTAACGTCATCCACTGTTATCTTTCCTGGAGGTTGAGGAACTTCAGCGACTTTCACTGGCTCATGGGTTTCTTCAGGCAAACCAATTCCAAATTCATTCTCTGCACAAACTCTGAAGTAATAATAGCAGCCCTCCTGAAGCTGAGAGATTTTCCATGATGTTTTGTTGCAGTTTGTTACTACAGCTGCATAGGCTTTTCTTGTGGCCTCACGCTTTTCAATAATATAATTCTTAATTTTAGCTCCGCCATCTACCAAAGGAGGCTCCCATGCAAGTGAAACAGAGTCTTTTGTGATCTCCCTAATTTTCAGGTTAATTGGGGGCCCTGGCGTATCTAGGACTCTTACGCTGACAAAGGCAGACTTCGTCCCACTGCTGTTTTCCAAAGTAAGAGTGTATTTTCCAGAGTCAAATCTGTTAACATTGTCAAGAACCAGTGAGGTAAAGCTGCTGGTGATGTCAATCATAGCTGCTTCTCTGATGTCACCATCCACCTTGCCCCATTTTACTTCAGGGGTTGGGCGTCCTCTGATCGGAACAAACAATCTTAAGGAACCGCCGGCTCTTACATTGATAACTTTCCTCAGCTCCATGTCAAGATCAAGGTCTGGGGCTTCCAACTTATCTTCAACAATAATAGTTCCAGGAACATCAGCATGCTCTCCTACTCCAGCTTTATTAACAGCACAAATGCGGAACTTGTATTCATGCTTTTCCAATAATTTTTCCACCTCCATATTTGTTTTCTTAATTCCAGTTGGTGGTGTACAAATTTCCCAGTCCCCAACGCTTACATCACATTTTTCAACGATGTATCCTTGAATTTCAGAGCCACCATCATAGATTGGTTTACCCCAGGAAAGGAAGACTGAAGATTTTGTAATATCTGTTGCCCTCGGATTATTAGGAGGGCCTGGTTTGTAGATAGGGTCACAGGCTTTATAATAAATAGATGGTGGACTGGGCTCACTCACACCAGCCGCATTTTCAGCCGAGACTCTGTATTCATAATCGTGATTTTCTATAAGTCCAGTGACTCTGTATCGAAGTTCACTTATCAAACGCTTGTTACATCTGGTCCATCGAATGCCTTCTTTGTCACGTTTTTCTAGTATATATCCCAAGATTTCGCTGCCGCCATCAGAGGCTGGTCTCTCCCAGACCACAATCATAGAATCCTTGGTAACAGCGGTGACTTCTGGGGCTTTTGGCGGGAGTGGCACAACGAAAGGATTTTTTGCAAGTACTGGTTCAGATTCAAGAGGCTCACCAACACCATATTTGTTCACAGCCATGATACGGAAGATATATTCATTGCCTTCCAAAAGTTTAGTAACTTTGCAGCTAAGAGTCTGTACATTTGCATCAACTAAAGTCCAAACTAAGCGACTTGTTTCTCTTCTTTCAACAACATAATGGGAAATATCGCTGCCACCATCCTGGAGTGGGGGCTTCCATGACAGCGTACATTTTTCAGCAGTAACTCCTGTCACAACAGCAGGCCCTTCTGGTGGACCAGGCCTGTCAAGAACCTTGACGTGAATAGATGCTGTTTTTTCACCTGCAACATTCTTCACCAGCAATACATAATGTCCGCTGTCAACACGAATAGCTTCTTTTACACTGAGGCTTGTCGCAAAGTCAGTACTTTTTATGTCCAAGCGTGCGGTATTTGTTAGCTCCTTATCCCCTTTCAGCCAGTGAATAGTAGGCAATGGTTTGCCATAAACATCGGCATCAATTTTGAATGATTCGCCAGCATGCAGTACAAGTGTCTCTTTAAATTTGGGATCCATACTTATACGAGGTGGATCTACTTCATCTCTTGCTGTGACTGCCCCTGAACTTTCAGATGGTTCACTGAAGACACCTGCAGCGTTACGTGCAATGACACGGAACTCATACCTTTGATTTTCCACTAGGCCAGTTACTGCAAATTGAGTCTCAATCACGTTTGTAAAGCTAGCTTTCATCCAACGGCCATCTGGCAGCTCCTTCTTCTCAACAATATAGCCTGTGATCTTGCTTCCACCGTCATACTCTGGTTTCTTCCACTGAAGAGTAACAGAGTTACGTGTGACAATGATGGGCTCTGGACGACCGGGAGGATCACAAGGATCATGGGCTGCGTAGCATTCTGAAGTTTTACTTGCCTTTCCAATGCCAACAATATTTTCTGCATAAACTCTGAATTCATATTCAAGTCCCTCTTCAAGTCCCGTTGCTTTAAACTTTGTGTCAGGGATGGCTGCTTTGTTTAGTTTAACCCAGAGGATGCTATTTCTCTCCTTGTACTCCAAATGATATCCAATAATCTTGCTGCCACCATCATTAACGGGCTCATTCCAGTGCACAACCATGCTGTCCTTAGAGACTTGTGGTACATTTGGAGTTCCAGGTGGACCAGGTAATTTGTATGGATATTGGGCAACTACAGACTCTGACGTGAGATACGTACTCTTTCCGTATCTGTTTTCAGCAGCGATTCTGAATTGATATTCACACCCAGTCTTTAGCCTAGTTGCTTTTAGAGTGGTTCGAGCAACGGTAGCTGAAACGATCTGCCAAACAGTAGTAGAGGTGTCCCGTTTCTCTACAATGTAATTGTTGATTGAACTGCCGCCATCATATTTTGGGGGTTCCCAAGAAATGGTGATGCTGTCCGCAGTCACTTCATCAATCTTTACTGGTCCAGTTGGAGGTCCTGGCTTATCAAGGACCACAATGTTAAGAATTTCAGTCGCTTCACCTGCAGAATTAGAAAGTTTGACTAAATATTGTCCAACGTCTTCCCTACATGCTTCCTTGATTGTGAGTAACGTGTTGTTCTCTGTGTTTTCTTCATTGACCCTAGTAGTTTGTCTCAGTGGCACGTTATCTTTAAGCCATGTTACGGTTGGCTTGGGTCGGCCGATAAATGGAACATCAACCTTTAAGTCTTCACCCGCCAGGACACTGAAAGTGGTAAACAACAGTTTAAAGGCTGGTGGTATCACAAGATCTTTTGCAATTACTGGTACGCTCAACTGTCGAGGATCACTGACTCCTTTTTCATTCTGAGCTGAAACACGGAACGAATATTCTTCACCCTGAATCAGTCCAGTTATGACAGCTTCCGTAACTTTGACAGTGGCACAGGTGGCCCATTTGTCACTGCCTTTGCTCTGCATTTCTACAATGTAGCCCAAGATTCTGCTACCTCCGTCGTGTTCAGGTTTCTCCCAGGTCAAGGAGACACTGTTCCTTGTCACATCCAATAAAGTTATTTTTCCTGGAGGAAGTGGCCGTTCAGATACTTTAACAGATTCCGGTGTTTCAACGGGAAGGCCTATTCCATATTCATTCTCAGCAAGGACTCTGAAATAATAGTTACAACCTTCCTGTAAATCTGTCACTTTCCAGCTGGTCTTGTGGCAGTTGGCCATAACAGTTGAGTAAGCTTTTCTTGTTGCCTCACGCTTTTCAATAATATAGTTCTTTATTTTAGAGCCACCATCTATGAGAGGAGGGTCCCATGTGAGTGTGACGGATGACTTTGTGACCTCTTTTATTTTTAGATTCTGGGGGGCTCCGGGTGTATCAAGAACCCTGACAATGACAAAGGCTGATTTGCTGCCAGAGCTGTTTTCTACAGTAAGTATATATTTGCCACTGTCAAACCTATTCACGTTTGCAACTGTAAGCAGAGTATAGGAGCTTGTAGATTCGATTGTAGCTTTATCTAAGGACTCTCCATGCTCTCGTGCCCATTTCACTTCAGGAGCCGGTCTTCCTTTAATTGGGACAAAAAGTCTTAAAGTACAGCAAGCTCTGAGAGTGACAACTTTGCGTAGGTCTGCGTCCAGTTCAATCTCTGGGGGCAGCATCCTTTCCTCGGCCTTTGGTGTCCCAGGAACCTGAGCAGGCTCTCCCATGCCTTCAGAGTTCATGGCATATATCCTGATTTTATACTCCTGGTTTTCTTTAAGATCAGTGATAGTAAAGGAAGTAGCCTTCAGTCCCGCTGATGGAGTGACAATTTTCCATTCATCTTCTTCTGGTAATGCTATTTCAACCATGTAGCCTGTTATTTCTGAGCCACCATCATATATGGGCTTATTCCAAGCAATTGTAATTGAGGATTTGCTTGTATCTAAGACACGAGGATTGCCAGGTGGACCGGGCTTAAACACCGTATCGACAGCTTTGTAGAACTGGCTGCTCGGGCTTGGTTCGCTTACACCAGCAGCATTTTCAGCCTTTACTCGGTATTCATATTCATGACCTTCCGTGAGTCCAGATACTTTGTAGCGTAAATCGGTGACCACTCGCTTGTTACATTTCACCCAGCGCATTCCAGCTCTGTCACGACGTTCTAAGATGTAGTTAGTGATAGGACTTCCACCATCCGAATCGGGACGTCCCCAGCATACAACCATAGAATCCCTGTTAGCAGCTGTAACTTCAGGTGTTTTGGGTGGATCAGGGACAACGTAAGGATTTACTGCCAGAACAGGTTCTGATTCCAGAGCTTCACCAACTCCGTATTTGTTAACAGCCATAACACGGAACACATATTCATTGCCTTTCAGGAGCTTTGTGACCTTCAATTTTGTTACTGGAACTTCTGTGGCTACAGTTGTCCATGCCAATCTACTTGTTTCACGTTTTTCAACAATGTAATGGTCAATGCTTGCACCACCATCGTCCAAAGGTGGTAACCATGAAAGGACACATTTTTCTGAGGTAACATCAGCCACCGCCAAAGGCCCTTCTGGAGGACCCGGTCTGTCTAGAACTTTGACATTGAAGATATGTTTTGCAAAGCCACCTGGATTGGAAGCTGTAAGTGTGTATGCACCTCCATCTCTTCTTGTTGAATCCTTGTTAGTAAGGACTGTTGAGAAATCTGCTATCTTAATTTCCAATTTTGCCGTGTCTTCAAGCTCCTTTCCTTCTTTGGTCCATGTAAGGGTCGGTGGAGGGCGACCTGCAACATCAGCTTCAAGTTTGAAAAGTTCACCTGCTTTTAATACTAAAGTTTCTTTGTATTTAGCATCAACCATTATCCTTGGTGCTTCGATGTCATCTCTGCATGTTATCGCATCTGATGGTTCTGAGGGCTGGCTGACAGCACCAGCAGCATTTCTAGCAATCACACGGAATTCATAAGCAGCATCTTCGGTAAGACCACTAACAGTGAATTCAGTTTCTAATATATTGCTGAAATTCGCCTTGAGCCATCTGCCATTGGGAAGATCTCTTTTTTCTACAGTGTAACCAGTTATCTTAAAGCCTCCATTATATTCAGGCTTTGTCCACTTGAGTGCAACGGCATGTCTTGTAATATTGAGAGGAACTGGTTTACCAGGAGGATCAATAGGGTCCAGAGCAAGTGTTGGCTCAGACGGCTTGCTTGGTTTACTTTTGCCTGCCATGTTTTCGGCGATGACTCGGAATTCATATGCGATGCCATCTGTGAGACCACTTGATTTGAAGATGTTGCCTGATATCAAGGTTTTGCTTACAGTCTGCCAAAGGATGCTATTCCGTTCTTTTCTTTCAATGTGATACCCCAGAATTGGACTTCCTCCATCTGTAAGTGGCTCATGCCAACTAATGGTGATTGACTCTTTTGTGGCTGCAATCACTTGAGGAGTGCCTGGAGGCCCAGGAACTTTAAAAGGGTAGGTAGCTATCACATTTTCTGAACTGATGGCTGGACCCGATCCATATCTGTTCTGGGCTTTAACACGGAATTGGTACTCGGTCCCAGTAATGAGGCGAGCAGCTTTATAGGTGGTACGAATAACAGTAGTTGCTAACTCGGCCCATGATGTACTGTCCGTTTTGCGCATTTCTACGACGTAATTACTTATTGGAACTCCTCCATCATTCAGGGGTGGTTGCCATGAAAAGGTGACAAAGTCAGATGAGATTTCATCAAATTTGATTGGTCCTGTAGGAGGCCCAGGAACATCATGGACCTGTACAGTTATAACATCGCTAACTTCTCCGACAATGTTTTTAGCAGAGACTGGATATCTGCCGCTGTCATTTCTTGTGCATTCATTGATGGTTAAGATGGTGGCTGTTGCGGTATTTTCAACATTTACTCTTTGGGTTTGCTTAAGCAACTGGTCTTCTTTTTTCCAGGCAATCGTTGGCCTTGGGCGACCAAGCACAGGAATCTCAACTTTGATGTTGTCACCAGCTCTTGCAATGACTGTTTTCTGATATATGCCACGCAAATCAAATTCTGGAAGCATCATTTGTTCTTTCACAACCACTGGCCTGCTTTCTCTTGGATCACTTCTCCCAGCACTATTAACTGCCATCACCTGGAAGGTATACTCTTCATTTTCAGTGAGGTTCTTGACCACACATTCTAATGTTTTCACAGTTGTGATGTGTGTCCATTGAGTTGAACCTTTCTTCTGTGCCTCAATCACATAGCCAGTAATCTTGCTACCGCCATCATGTTCTGGCTTTGGCCAAGCAAGGCTGACGGAGTTCCTTGTGATGTCCATAATATTAAGACTCTCTGGAGGTGATGGTGCTTCAGATGCTCTTATAGGTTCAGCGGTTTCAGCAGGTTCACCAATTCCAAATTCATTTTCAGCCAGGACTCTAAAGTAATATTCACACCCTTCTGCTAAATTGGGAATCCTAAGGGAGCATTTGGGGCATTTTGTGGTGATGGTAGAATATGCCTTTCTCGTAGACTCCCGTTTCTCAACTATGTAATTTGTGATGCGTGAACCACCATCGATTAGTGGCATGTCCCACTGGAGAGTGATGCTATCTTTACTTATGTCTCTGGGCTTCAGATTTATCGGTGGCCCAGGCGTATCCAAAACTCTTACATTGACAAAACCGGTCTTCTTTCCAGCCGCATTTTCAAGGGTCATTACATACTTTCCTGCATCATATCTATTACACTCTGTGATGATGAGAAGAGAGAAAGAATCTGTATTTTCAATATTGGCACGTGCTTTGAGTGGTATATCGTCCTTTGTCCATGTCACTTCAGGAGCTGGACGTCCTCTAATTGGAACAAATATCCTGATGCTCAGTCCGGCTCTGACAACAAGTGTCTTTCTTAGCTCAGCATCTAATTCAAAATCAGGAGCCACTTCACGTTCCTTGATTTCAACATTTGGGATCTTTGCAGGTTCGCCAGTACCAGCAGCGTTGATGGCACTAATTCTAAAATTGTATTTGGCTCCCGGCTGGAGATTAGCGACAACAAACTCTGTGATTCTTAGAGCAGTTCCTGTAGTATCTTTTACCCATGCATCTTCTCCTTCTTTCTGATGCTCCACAACATAGCCAATGATATCCAGTCCACCATCATAATGGGGTTTGCCCCATGATAAGCTAGCAGATGTCTTTGTCGTATCAGTTACTCGTGGGTTTGAAGGAGGTCCTGGTGGGTCTATAATAATGAGGAAAAAAAAGACAAACAAAATATTTGATTAGAGTTCCTTCATAAATAATTAGGCTGTTAATGTGGTATGAAGATATTTCTCAGAAGACAGAAAGCATACTAACATGCAGCATCCTTCGTTAATACTGGCTGAGAAACGTCGCTTGGTGGGCCGATTCCTGCTCTGTTTTCTGCGCTGACTCTGAATTCGTATTCATTTCCTTCTTGAAGTCCAGTCACTTTGTACCGAAGGTCTGACACTGGTTTCTTGGAAACTCTGACCCATCTCACGCCTTTCTTTTCTCTTCTTTCCACATGGTAACCAGTGATTTCACTGCCGCCGTCATCCGCCGGCCTCTTCCAATTCACTGTAACGGTGTTTTTTGTAATATTGGACACTTCTGGCTTTCCCGGAGGACCAGGAGGACCTGATTGGAAGGGGGGAAATATTTGCTTTTAAAAAAAATTGGACATTTTTCCTTCTATAACAGATAAAACATACGTGACCTAAATGCTCCTAAGTCTGGTTTCAATTTTAGTTTGGGAACAGATTTGATCTTTGTTGTCTTATGAATGACTTTCAATGGAAGAAGGACACGAGAGCTCTGTACTGTTGCTACGCAATTCTCCGGGGCCAGCTCTGTGAGGCGGTAGTAGGGGAAGCAGTTTTCCTCCTAGGGGAAATATTTGCTTTTGAAAAAAATTGGACATATTTTCCTTCTATAACAGATAAAACGTACGTGACCTAAACACTTCTAAGTCTGATTTCAGTTTTAGTTTGGGGACAGATTTGACCTCTGTTGTCTTATGGATGACTTTCAATGGGAGAAGGCCACGAGAGCCCTGTACTGTTGCTATGCAATTCTCCGTGAGGTGGTAGTAGGGGAAGCAGTTTTGCTCCTATCCTCAAGGTTAGTTCCACACAGTGGCATTAGGGGGTTGTGCCTCTGCCCCTTGGCATCCGTGCTGCTGGGCATAATCTTGTTTCCAATGCTTTTTAACATCAGTATTAAGCTGTTGAGGGAAGTAACCGGGGTGGGGGAGGGGCGATTTAGAGCCAGGTGTCATCAATATGCTGATAACCCACCGCTGTTATTTCTCTGTTGCACCTCAGAGACTGACTAGATAGGCATTTCACCAGCTCTTTAGCCCACTGAAGGATTGGGCTGGTTTGCTCCTAAAGCAATCAGTCATCATTTTTGAATGGACTCAGCTGCTTTTATTACCGTACTTTATTCTTTTTAGATACTAGGGTTTTTCTCTCTTCATTATTTATAAACTGCTTTGGGATTTTTACGTGAAAAGCAGTATAGAAATGTTCTTAAATGATAAAATAAAATAAAAACTAAAACCCATTCACTGGCTTTGCTTACCAAATCTATCCACCATTTTAACTGGTTCTGACTGGGATGGTTCTCCGGTTCCATATTGGTTCACGGCTGAGACACGGAAGATGTACTCATTTCCTCGAATTAGCTTAGTAACAACATGCCTACAAGACTGAATATCTTCAGCAACCTGAGTCCATAGCAGTCGGCTAGTTTCTCTCTTTTCAAGCACATAGGACTTGATTGGTGAGCCACCATCTTCTATAGGAGGGGTCCATGTGAGAGTCGCTTTTTCAGCTGAAACGTTGCTGATTTCAATTGGTCCTGGTGGACCTGGTACATCTAAAACTTTTACATGTACATGTTCCTGTTTAGTACCAAAAGGATTGACTGCAGTAATTGTGTATTCCCCAGAATCTTTCCTAGCTGCATACTTGATGCTTAGTGTAGAAGACATGGGTGTTGTTTCAATATGAACAGTCTCTGATGGCTTAAAATCTTTTCCTGCTTTGGACCAGGATGAAGTTGGAAGTGGTTTGCCACGGATGCTAATAGCAGACATTGTAATAGTATCGCCCGCTTTAACCGTCAGGCCTTCTTTGACAGCAGGATCAAGATCAATAGTTGGTGCCTCTGTAAAGACAATGAATTTGTGAAAAAACAACAGAAATAATAGCAAAAACACTATTCAAATTTCAATTGAATGCAACAAACATATTGTTTAACAGGGAATACACACCATACTCATCCTTGCATATAATGGCTCCTGTTGATTCTGATGGAGGACTAATTGCTCCAGCTGTATTCTTCGCTCTAATTCTGAATTCATATTTTGAACCTTCGAAAAGGTCAGTCACTGTAAATGCACATTCTTGAACATTCACATGATTTGCCTTCATCCATGTCTTTGATGGCAGATCACGCTTCTCCACTATGTAGCCAATTAATTTATGTCCACCATCATATTTTGGTTCTGTCCAGATCAGAGTCACTGAGTTTCTAGTTACGCTGATAACTTCAGGCTTCCCAGGAGCATCTGAAAAACACAGCAGAAATGCAGACGACTGTGAGGTAGTAAATGGATAAGACAGGGGATGTGGTGGCACTGCAGGTTAAACCGCAGAAGCCTCTGTGCTGCAAGGTCAGAAGACCAGCAGTCATAAGATTGAATCCATGCGATGGAGTGAGCTCCCGTCGCTTGTCCCAGCTCCTGCCATCCTAGCAGTTTGAAAGCATGTAAATGCGAGTAGATAAATAGGGACCACCTCGGTGGGAAGGTAACAGCGTTCCATGTTTAGTTGCGCTGGCCACGTGACCACGGAAACTGTTTACGGACAAACGCTGGCTCTACAGCTTGGAGATGGGGATGAGCACCGCCCCCTAGAGTCGGACATGACTGGACTAAATGTCAACCTTTAAATGGATAAGAGTTTTGTGACTCATTGAAAAATTCTCTCCTTTGTAAGAGTACCGTAACTCACCAATTGGATCCAGGGCCACGACTGGTTCAGATGGAAGACTTGGTTTACCGACACCAGCTAGATTTATTGCCATCACTCTGAATTCATATTCCAGACCTTCCGTCAATCCTGTCACTCTGAAGTCTTTCATCCTTAGTGGAGTCTTGTTTGCTCGCTTCCACAAAATACTGTTTCTTTCTTTATATTCAATGTGGTAACCTTCAAAAGGAAACAAGAAGCCATTAACTTATACTTCTAAAATGGAACTGTATAAGTACAATTGACCTACTGAAAACCAGTATTTGCCTTGTGGCACCCTTGAAATTCTTATGCCCAAAGGGCTTTATAGGTTGCCTAGCTGTGTATCTCTGTTAGCCACGAGTAGCATCAGAACAACCTAAACGCAAAAGGAGCCAAACTCTTCTAGTGCACAGAAACGTCTTTGCCCTGTCGCCAGGAAAATATTTGTGACACAGCTTTTAAGCAAATGCAATTATTACAGCATTGTACGTTTAAAATCATATAATTTTTGAAATCCTAAATAGTGATAGGTGAGTTTACTATACTTTACAGCTTTTTAAAGGAACTTTGCTACTAAACCTGAAAGGTAGATGGTACATTATGCAGGGGGAAAAGTATGTTCACTTGGGAGAGGAAATAAGTACTGAGAATTGGATGACTATACGGGGGAAAAGACTCTTAAAACGTATGTAAAAATAAAAGAAAATGCTTACAAAATTGGTTTGGAGATGATACTTAACACCAGTGAGATGGAACTATATGGATAAAAAATATTCCAAGATATACTGGAGATGTGAGCAGGAAATAGGAACCTACTTCCATATGTGGTGGGAATATGAACACTGTATATAATGAAGTTTTAGAAGCTGGTTTTTAAAGAGATAAGTGAAATTTCCATATGTGGTGGGAATATGAACACTGTTTATAATGAAGTTTCAGAAGCTACAATGGAACTGGACAATCAAGGTTTTTAAAGAGATAAGTGAAATACTAAAGTTTAATTTATGAATATATCCTAAAATAGCACTTCTATCAATATTTGAAAGTGAACAATGGAACTGGACAATCAAAGAATTGATCACAAATCTATTAACAGTAGCTAAATTAATAATAGCAAAGAATTGGAAAGTTAAGTGCGATCTCCAGTTTAATGAATGGTATAAAGAATTATGGAATATAGCTATTAATGATACATTGACATGTAATATTAAAGTAAGAAAAGTATTGTCAAATAATAATATATTTAGAGATATATGGGGAGAATTTACTGATTTTGTGCTAACAAAGGGGAAGGGTTGTATACCTTTACAAGAATCAATATATTTCTGGAAAGGGAATGGGGCCCCATAAAAGGAAAGAAATAGAATATCGCCATTGGTCCTGGTGGTGGTGGGGATGACATTGAGTTTATGCATGTTTTCTTTCATTTTATTTTTAGAAAAGTGTGTTTATTAATACATTTTACATCCTGACTTGTTTTTGGGATTCTAAGAAAGAAAATCTACACAATCTTAAGAAAATGACCACTCAAAATGGATACCTGTGATTGGTGAACCACCTGTCTTTTTAGGGTCCTGCCATACCAAAGATACAGAATCGTGCCTAACTGCAACAATTTTGGGTGGTGGTGGAGCATCGGGCACATCTAGAAAATGTAATATAAAAGAGGATTAGACATCAGTGATTAATGACAACAATAAGAAACATCATGTCTTACCACCATGTTGAACTTACCAAATGGATGTCTGGCAATTACAGGGTCAGATTTAAGACCTTCGCCTACTCCATATTTATTTTCTGCACTGATTCTGAAAGTATATTCAGAGCCTTCATGAAGTCTTGTCACTCTAAAGGTTGTTTTCTGGACAGCAGACGCACACGTCACCCATTTATTATTCACATTGTCTCTCTTCTCAAGGATGTAGTTAGTGATTTCAGAGCCGCCATCATCTTTGGGAGGACCCCATTTTAATGTCATCGCGTCAGCTGTAACTTCATCAAACTTCACCGGTCCTGTTGGGATTCCAGGTCTGCCAACAACTTTCATAGTAATGGTGCCTTCTTTACTGCCAGCAACGTTCTTCAGGGTGATGGTGTATTTCCCAGCGTCATCTTTATGACAGTCACGTACAAGGAGGGTCGTGTTAATGGCCGTAGCTTCAAATGCAACTCTTCCGCTCTCAGTCAGCGTCAGATCCTCTCCTTTTTTCCAGGTGACAGCTGGCGCTGGCTTGCCTTTAATGGGGATTTTCAGACGGAAACTGCTTCCTTCTCTTGCTAAATAGACCAAGCCTGGCAGGTCTCGTAAATCAAGATCAGGTGCCACTGCAGAACAAAAAGTATGAAAATACTTTCATATGCAACACACAAAATGCAATTCTTGTATTCATCAAAGGGGAGGGGCTTGTCTTCTGCCACTGTTGCTGTTTTTTTCATTGCAACAGGCTAACCTGGCACCCCCATTACCCATTTTGTTCTTCACTAAACTGACACATGTGGTCAGCGAATGAGCGAATATCGCCATTTACTCACCAATATCGTCCCTTGCCACCACGGTAATTTCGCTAGGTGTCCCGTACCCAGCTTCATTTTGTGCTCTAACTCTGAAAGTGTATTCATTTCCTTCCTTCAGATCTCTTGATGAATACTGGAGATTCTTCGACCTCATCACTTCTTGCCACTGGTTTTCACCTACCATAAGCTCTACAAGGTAGGCATTAATGCGGCTTCCACCATCGCTTATAGGCTTTTTCCATGATAAACTGCAAGATGACTTTGTGACATGTGGAGCCTTTAGGTCGATGACCGGCCCAGGTGTTTCTAGAAGGAAAAGTGGACAAAGTATTGACATAAGTTGACATAAAATGAAAAAATCACAAAATCATAGCTCAATAAAACAAGAGTGGGGATTTTCTCACCAGAAGCTTTAACTGCATCTCGAGTTTCACAGGGGTCACCAATGCCATATTCATTTTCAGCAAAAACTCGGAAGAAGTAAGATTTGCCTTCCTCCAGGTTAGAAATCCTGAAACTGGTTTTTGGACATTCTGTGGCCACCGTGGCCCACGATTTTCTTTCTGCATCACGCTTCTCAACCACATAGTTCTTCACTGGACTCCCCCCATCAATTATTGGAGGTTCCCATGAAATAAAAGCGGAATCTTTGGATGCTTCCTTTACAATGAGGTTAATAGGTGGTCCAGGAGTGTCTGCATCAAAACAAAAATAACATGTTCAGTTACTCACCAAAAAGAAAGGTTACTTACCTGTAACTCTGGTTCTTCGAGTGGTCCTCTGTGAATTCACACGTCCCGCCCGTCCTCCCCTCTTTCCGTCACGGCTGTCTCACCTTAGAGCAGCAGCGGAATTTGGGGAACTGAGGTAACTGTTAGGACGGGCGGACCATGAGGTCCTGGGGGGCGGAGCCAAAAGTGTTACTTTAAGCTCTAGAATATTCCGAGGCCTCTGCACAAGTGCAGATTTAACCCATTAGTGTGCATTCACAGAGGCCACGAAGAAGAACAGAGAAAATAAAATGCCAGTCATTCTTGTATCTTCTCCAGGTTCTTGTTCATGGTTTCTGAACCATTGTTATATTTTGGGAATGACATCTATAACAACATGTACATGTGTACATGCAAAAACTCTGATAATATATATGGCTTGCCTGTACTGGTTTCCTGTGCCTATTCAAGCCAAATTCAAGGTGCTGGCACTAACATATAAGGCTCTTAATGGGTTGGGAACCTATTATCTGTTGGAGCACCTCCTTTGGAGAGTATCAGCCTGTGCCAGCCAAACCATCCAGACTGATCACTTCGAGAGAGGTGAAGAAAGTTTCCACGAGGAACTGACCCTTCTCGGTAGTGGCCCCACATCTTTAGAACAGTCTTCCTGTAGAGATCCATCAGGCGTCCTCCCTCCCAACCTTCAAGAGGTTATTTAAGCCCATTCTCTTTGAAGGAGCACTTAGAGACATTCTCCCCCAGTATTAATTATGAGCATCGCTTTGCCTTGTGTGCCATCAATGCGTTCTCTTGGTTTGTGGGATTTTGGCAGATTTTAGTCTGTTTTCATTGGGATAGTAGGGAAGTATAGTTGGGAGGGCTGTTTACATGATTGTTAACCAGTATATACTATACTGGAATGAATGAATGAATGAATGAATGAATGAATGAATGAATGAATGAATGAATGAATGAATNGAATGAATGAATGAATGAATGAATGAATGAATGAATGAATGAATGAATGAATGAATGAATGAATGAATGAATGAATGAATGAATGAATCACTTACCAAGTACTTTGACTACAATGGTGTATGACTTCTTGCCACAGCTGTTCTCCAGATGCAGCACATATTTCCCAGCATCGTATTTATTTACATTTTCACAGCGCAGGAAGGTGTCAAAATCAGTTGATTTGATATCCAGGCCTTGCCTATCTCTTATGTTGGCATCCACTTTAGACCAAGAAATCTTTGGAGGTGGGCGGCCTCTCACTGGCACATAAATCCTCATTGTGACTCCAGCACGTAAAATTAGGACTTTTCTCAATTCAGCATCAAGCTCTCCCTCAGGTGGAACTGCATTTTGAAGAACATATGTGTAAACTAAAGTGCTTAAAAGGACCATTGAAAATATTTTTTTAAAAAACAATCAAACAGTCTTTGCAGATGGAGTAGAATTTAAAGAGGTAAAGAAAAACATTAAGATATAATCCAACTATAATGCAATATTCTTTTAAAAAGGAAGAAATATAAAAGAAAAGCACCTCTTAAAATAACTTCACTCCTAATTGCTAATTTAACTAAATACTTCAGTGTCTTTTTTTTCTTACTTCTGAGTTGAGAACTGAATTCACCCTTATGCTTGCCCCTGGAGAGTCCTGGCTAAAGAGGCTCCCCTCCTGTGGCATAACTGTTTGAGAGTTTCCTATTAGGATGAGTGTGCTCAACTTGAACTCAGAGGAAGATACCTTTCAGTATAATTCAATAGACAGAGATTGTTTGTTTTCCTTAACAGAGAACCCATGCTTTCAGCTGGAGGAAAAAATAAGAATACTGGGAGTGCAGCTGCAGAATATCTGAACTGGAGAAGACTTTGGAAATGGAACAAGAGAGGACACATGCACAGGTGGCTGTGCTGTTCTATGCAGCTGAGAGACAGTGGCCTATGAACTGGGTGCATATGGTGTCTGATCCAAAATATGCTTTCTACAAATAGAGGTGCTCTGTTCATGGAAGGGGCATTTGTCTGATTTTGGGAAATTCCTCTTCCTTTTACACCAAAGCTCATTCCATTCACCAAGGTCTGCTAATCCTCTGTGTAGCATTTTCAAGGCCCTGCAGGGGCCGCTATGGATGGAAGGGGACAGGAAGTCTCCTTCCACCAGTCCAGTTATACACCCTGAAATCTGGATCCAGTGCATGCATTCATTAAAACATTCCCTACTGAGGCTCTGATTTCCTTTCAACTGTGCAGTGCCTCCCATCCCCACCCCAACAGGCACTAAGACCAGTAGCTCAGTTTTTCCCCCCAGGATACTCACTCAAAATGTCTTTGGCAAGGTGTTTGTCTGGCACGTCACTTGGGTCGCTGTAGCCAACCTTATTGACAGCGTAAATACGGAACTGATATTCTGTGTTCTCAGTAAGTCCTGTTACAACGTAATGGGTATCAGGCAAATTCTTCGGCAAATTGCATCTGACCCAGTTGTCGGTGTCAGCTCTCTTTACTTCGACCAAGTAGCCGATAATGGGACTTCCACCATCATATGCTGGTTTAGACCAAGAGAGGCTGATCGAACTACGAGTCGTGTCGACAACTTTTGGGAATGCTGGAGGACCAGGAGGATCTGGGAGTGAAAGCAACAGGAAGTTACACAATTGGACACACCTACACATACCTATACATGGACATGTACACACACAGGAATATAAGGGAAACACACACACACACACATATATTTAACTTACACTGAGGGTCACGAGCATATGCTCCTTTAGATGGTGCGCTAGGTTTGCCTGGTCCAGCTTTATTCAGTGCAGTCACCCTAAACTCATATTCTGCACCTTCCTGGAGTCCAGTGGCCTTGATAGTTCTTTCAATGACTGGTTTTCTGTTCACTTTCGTCCAGCCAACAGCCTTTGTTTCACGTTTTTCAACAATATATCCAGTTATAGGGGAGCCACCATCATCAGCTGGTGCTTTCCAGCTGACGGTCATGAAATCTTTGGTTATGTTACTAATTACAGGTGGATCACAAGGTCCGGGGACATCTGTAAATGGGGAAAATTAATAATATGCATTGAAATGAGAGACTGGCTGTTAAAGTATAAAAGGATCGCTAGCAAGGGAGAAGTCTACCAAGAGATGCCTACCGTATGGATTCTTAGCCACTGCTGGCTCAGTCAGGATGGGATCGCCTACTCCATATTTGTTTTCAGCACAAATGCGGAATTGGTACTCGTGTCCTTCAATCAGTTTCTCGACGCTACAGCTCGTGATTGGGACGTTGGCCGTGACCTGTGCCCAGTTGGGCCTGCTTGTTTCACGCTTGTCGACAATGTAATTAGTAATGTCTGACCCTCCGTCTTCAAGAGGGGGTTCCCAAGAGAGCATCGCCCGGTCCGTATACATGTTTGCGATCTTCACTGAAGCAGGAGGGCCGGGTTTGTCTGCAAAAGAGGATACAGGCAGAGTGTGAAGTCTCCCAATGGCTACCTTCCAAGTTTCGATAACATGAATTTAAACTGCCCTTTAAAACCTACCTAGTACTTTAAGCTTAACGGTTGCTGACTTGGAACCACTTGCATTTTCGGCAGTAATGGTATAATCTCCGGTCTGCTTCCTGTTTACACTGAAGAGTTCCACAGTAGATAAGTTTCTCTTTGTGGTTATCTTGATTCCTTCGGCGGGTTTGAGAACTTCCTTCTCTTTTGTCCACGTAATAGTTGGCATAGGTTTGCCAAACACATTAGCCTCAAGGCAAACATTGCTTCCAGCTTTTACTACAATTAAGGATTTCATACCAACACCAAGCTCTATTTTTGGTGGTACTGAAAAGGGGGAGGGAGAGAAAGAAAATGGGAAAAAAGTTGGACATTGTAGAAGTGCTAAAAGACAAAAGATACATTTGTTCTTTCATATTAATAGTACTCCTTACCATTTTCGGCCTGAACGGTTATTGGATCAGAAGGTTCAGATGGCCAGCTGATGTTCACTGCTGTTTTTGCTATCGCTCTAAACTGGTATTGAGCACCTTCCTCCAGACCAGTTGCAGTATACTCTTCCTGAGGTATCTGATGCGGAGTAGTATTGCATCGTACCCATTTATCTCCAGGCAGCTTACAGGCTTCGACAAAGTATCCGATCAGTTTGCTCCCACCATCATGTTTGGGCCTTGTCCAGATTAGGGACACAGTACTCTTAGTGACATCAATTACTTCAGGTTTACCAGGAGGATCTAAAAACGAATGACACGGTTTTCCCACCGTCAGTTTCAGCATTTAATACAAATAATTTCAAATGCTAAGCAAAATGGAGGATGCAGCTCATCTGAGAGGCACGTTAAGCGCCAGCTTCACAGCTGAGCAAATACTGTGCGTCATGAATGTCACAAAATCCAAAGGAAGGAAGAACGTATGTTGGGCTTCCTTTGAAGGCGGTTCGGAAGCTGCAGTAAGTGCAGAAGACAGTGGCTAGGCTGGTTTCTGGAACATCTCAATTTAAGCATATATTGCCTGTCCTGGCACATCTGCACTGCCTGCCTGTATGCCTCTGGGTCATTCAAAGGGCGTATACTCCCATTTAAAACCCTTAACAATTTAGGACCCAGCTCCCTGTCTGAGTGCCTCTCCCTCAAAACATCTACCAATCCCACCAGTACCTCATATACTGGGATGCTGCAGGTGGTGACCCTGAGGGAGGCCTGAAAATCTGCCATTCAAAACTGGGCCTTCTCTCTGGTCACAACTTTGGACCACCTGAGGTACAATTAGCTCCTTTCCTCCTTGGTTTTAAGAGACAAGTTAAAATCTGGTTCTTTTCACATACCTTTTATGGCCTTACTCCAGAGTATTCTCACTGAATGATTAGGCTCCCCCCCGCTTATGAATTTGCCCTGTTTTTGCTGCCTAATATTATCGTATTCAATACTTATAATTATGTTATAGTCTCTATTCTTATTATTTTATTTTTAGATATTATGTTTCTTCCTCGCTGTTTTTGTGGTTTTTATTGAGGTTGTTTGTATTTTGCATTATTGTAATTTATTTGCCAACCAGAGTAGTGGATGTGTCCCCAGTTGGGCAGGATAGAAATATAAATATATATTTAAAAGTTTATAGGATAGGCATGAGCCAGAAAAAAACTGAGTGTTTTAAGTCTCAGGCATTTCAATGGGTTTAATGGCATGCTTCCTTCTGCTGTAATGGAATACAAAGTGCCTCATGTTGGCTGGATTATGCATTATATTATATATGTATATGATGTAACCCTCTATCCCAAAAGTAAATCCCATTGAGACCAGTTATATATCAGATTGTGCTCTTATAGACCTTGAGCTGGGTCAGCATAAGCATGAATAATTGCAAGACATACATGGCTTGTATCCAAATATTTTGCTTACCAACTGGTATTCTTGCTGTAACAAAATCTGTGGGCTTGCTAGGTTTGCTAGCTCCGGCTTTATTCAGAGCATAGATTCTGAATGTGTACTCAAGACCTTCAATTAAGCCTGCACAGGGATACTCTGTGGATCGCACAAGGGTGTCATTGGCCTTCACCCACAGCAAACTGTTCCTTTCTTTCCGTTCAATGAGATAACCAGTGATTGGACTGCCTCCATCACTGTCTGGCCTGTCCCAGGCCACAAAGATGCAATCCTTGTTCACCTTGGTAACACGGGCATTCTTTGGTTCACTAGGAACATCTGGGAGGAAGTGAGGAGACAAAAAAAATCAGTGCCTCATTCTTGTGTTAAAGCTTACCTTCATGATAACTATAATATGGCTTGAGTCAGACATACCAAATGGGAACTTTGCTATCATCTTATCAGATTGGAGTGGCTCAGAAATGCCAAACCGGTTTTCAGCCCGCACACGGAACATATATTCTTGTCCAGGAGTTAATTTTCCAATTCTGCAATTTGTCTTGGAGACGGAAGCTACCACCGTTATCCAGTCACCACGACTGACGTCACACTTCTCCACCACATAGTTGGTGATGTTGCTGCCGCCATCTTCCAGAGGGATGTGCCAGGACAAACTGCAGGCATCCGCGTCTATGTCAGAAATTTCAAATGGTGGCTGTGGTGGGCCAGGGATATCTGTAGAAAGATATTTAAAAAGCACATGTGTCAGGCAAAGCAAACTGGCCACATGGTAAAGATGTCTGTGTATAAAAAATTAAGCATAGAACAGAAAACTTTGTGTACCCATGACAACCACTTTGATTTTCTGAGTGGCCACACCAGCGCTGTTTTCGGCCTGGAGAGTGTAATAGTCGCTGTCTTTCCTGGTTACATCTTTAATGATGAGAACTGACATGCTGTCTCCTTTATGCACTGCGAGGCGGCTGGATATATGCACATCGTGGTCTCCTTTCATCCATTTACAGGTCGGGTTTGGTTTCCCATAAATATGGGCTTCCACCCTGAGTTTCAGTCCAGCTTTTATACTGACTTGCTCTGGCATCAGAATCTTAGGTGGCACTGAAATTAAAATCAAACAGTGGAAAACAAACACTTAAATCAGGCAGAATTAATAACCTAACCTGTTTTTCCAGTTATTTTATCCTGCGTAGTCATTAATTTTTTTTAATTACTTATACTCTCGAAGCAGCTTTAGGTTTTTCATTAAAGCAGATTGCATGGATCAGAATCTCAAGCTCCTGGAGAGGTCACGATCGAAACATTGTTCAAACATAATGCAGAAGAATTTATATTGTATCCCAGAAGAGAAACAGGTTTTTGTCTGCTTTCAGAGAGATTCAAAGAAATATTGATAACTTCCATCCACCCAATATGACTGAAGCATGAGCTCCCTCCAGCATGATTTGGTTCCTTCCTCATCATTTAAGGGTTTTGTTATCGTTTTGTGGCATTTCTAAGGCACAAGGAGTATAATATTTATCTACCAGTTGCTGAATTTTACAGTTCTCCTCTTTTTCAAATGGGGAGACATCTTGTGAAATGAGATAAAATAAAATCTGTGCAGTGTTGCACAAGAAGCAGAGCACTGTTCAGAAGCGGCCTGCTCAGACCAGAATTGACATTTGTGAATTTAGAAATCACAGTGAACCATTTGGTTTACTGCTTTTAAGCATCTCTGAATGCCAATAAATAGGAAATTGGCTTAAATGTTAGAAGACAGTTTATATAACTTTTATGATTCAGCACCCAAAATCCCAGACGAAAGTCAAACTACAGAAAGAGATAAGATGTC